TATAGTTTTGAAACAATATTACAAAGAAATATTAATTTATTTAATTTATGAAAACGTTTAATTAAAAACTATTACTAATAGAAAGAATAAAAATAGAAATAGATTAATAATAATTTGGAAATTTTCAAATTCAAAAAACATGACTTTTTTTTAATCAATTGAATTCTGGACTGAACTTACAGTTATTTCGGGTACCGTCAAATATTTATTATCAGTGGTCTTATGAACACATACATTGATTTCATTAAAATGAAATGACCAAGCCCAAAATGGGTCTGCAGATATTTCGATGTGAAAATTCTTTTTCTAATTCTAAAATGTTCAGCGGTTGCTAAACGTTTTATGTTTTAAAATGGAAAATAATAAAAAAAGTTCTGAGAATTCGTTTTACTTTTAGATATCATAATTATGTTCATTTTCTAGTTCTCATTTTAATATATGCAAGAAAAATAGTTTTTATTTAAATGAATTTTAGTAGGACCATCAAAATTATGTAAAAAACAATAAACAGGAGTACTGTAAAAACAATATATGGGACTTAGACGTTATAAATATAAACTAAAAGCATTGGTTTCTAAAATGTCTCGAAATTAAGATATATATCAGCGTTGTTTTCAGAATATTTTAATTGATATATACGTATAATGCGATATATAGTCGATAATACTTTAAATATTATAAATTTCAATTTTCTAATTATTTTTTCAGAGTTATTTATTGTAGAGAATTCCAAACATTTTCAACTGACTTATTCCTGTACTCTTATTCTGTGTTATTTTCTTATTAAAATTCTTTTCACTCTTTCCCTACGAAAACCTGATGCTGATGGTCCTGCGAATAGTTTCAGTAAGTAGCAATAGAAATGCTTCTGCTTAAATTGAAGGTGGTGTTGAGAAAAATAAAGATTTTTCTCATATAAGTAGTTGCAGTTTTACTTCTACACTGAGTTCTTAATACCACTGTAAGTGTAAACATCCAAGTGTTGAAAATATAAATAAAAATTATTTTCTAGGAAAACCACGTTGAACGGATACGTGCTATTTTAAAAGTATTTTTATCCTTCTGGCATTAAATACATAAGTTTTAAGGGAATTTATTTCGACAACTTTTACAAGGCACTGTTGCGGATTAAAGTCAAATCACAAATCACATTGTTAAAACTTTGTAAGAGAGATTGTGTCTTAAATATTAGTAGATGAGGACGTACTACACTTTATAAGAAAATAAATTTTGTTGATTATTTTTATAGTTTTTTAAAGATTATTTTTTTTATAATATAACTTTTAAAAGTAGCGATTTATTGTCTTTTTAAAACATTTTGTGGTAGCGTTGGTTTTGGGTTTTAAATTTTTTTTAAATTTTCTCTCCAGAGAGGAAAAAGTCATTGACAAAAGTTTAATGAAGTATATTTATAATTGTAATCATATTTTCATTACTTTATTATTTAAAATTTTTATATTACAAATGAATAATATATACAGAGAACTTCAAACCAATCCTCAAACGTTTCGTATTTTGTCAGTTTTGTTAGTAAATTTCACATTTGCGGATGTTTGATTCATAGCATGAAAGTCATTATTTTTAATTCTTCAAAAAAACGTCAGAATTGTTTTCAGCAAGGCAATATATTAAACTTATAATTTTGCATCATACTGCCCTCATGTTAGTTGTTTTAACTCTACACCTTGCTATCATGTGAATGAAATATGAAACGATTGTTCTTTCTTTTTAATTTCCTTGGATGATATCTTATTACTAGTTTTCCAGTTATGTTATTCGTGTGATTTAATAATCTGGATATATTAGGTGTAGTAAAAAGACATCCTTTACATATAGTAAGTAAAAATAAGTAAGTTTTTTAATATGTTTTAGATGTTAAAAGGAGTTATGGTACTCAATTTATAAAAAATCCTTTCGAACTAAGCTAATCAAATACGTATGGGACATCTAGGTAAACTGCAACGCAATATTGTTTGATTTAAAATTACGTGTGAGACAACTCTATATACCTGTTTTATTAGAAGCCAGTGTATTGCTCAACAACAAACGGATTTAATAGAATGAAAATAGTACAAATATATTATAGAAGTAGGTAATATAACAGCAAATTTTTTTTCGGTCCCCATTATCTTTTGCAATTTATAATCAAACTGTTAACTTGTAGCGAGTTAAGTACTACTGCCATTAGATATTGACCAATGTCTCTAGTAGTTGTATTGCTAGCCTTGAATTGTCTTTAAACATTTTACAGATAAATTAAATTATTACAAGTACTTATTTGGTTTGCATATTCCATAGCATTTATATACTATGCTTTCACAGTAATTACCAATTTAATTACTAAAATTATCATATTTTAATAATAATCTAATGTATCTGCAAGCCTAACGTGGATAACAAAAAGTCCTCTGTTATAAAGAAAAACCCTTGTATAAAATATATAATAGAATAAAAACCCTAGTTTTATTATTCAATTTCTTTTCAATTTCTAATCTGTTCTCATTTTCTTATACCCAAAAGATATTAAAAATCAGAAGGAACCCAATGCTGATTAAATTTTAATAAGTTTTGTGTCATTTGTTTTCAATTTTTAACTTTTTCCTTATTTCATTTTTGATTAAGCTAAGCTTTCTTTACGACCGAAAATGATATCCCTTCGTTTCCATTCACCGGAGAAGCTGTAATGCATATTTAATTTGGTTTTTAGTCTGCGCCTTTGTGTATGCTTTAAATTTGTGAGGTAATTTAATAGGAAATTGAATTTAAATTCATCAAAATTTGCATTTTGGCATAAAACAGAAAAGAATATTTTTAGAGCAGGTTCCAAATTTTATGGGTACAATCTCAGCCCGCTCTAATTATTGTATACTAATTTGCGAAAGATTTAAGTGCGAGGGATGCTTCTAAGTTTTTTGATTGTCAAAAATATAATTCTTTTAGACTTTTTTTTAAATTTCCTTTAATAGAATTGCTATATTTTAACTTTTCTATCTTTTAAGGTAATACTAATTCCCAGTTTAACAATTTAGAATTAGTTTTATAGCATTAATGTTGTCATTTTAAAAATTTAATATTTTGTTCAATATCTGTGGATATTCTCTATTTTTCCTCCATGTTTAAACGTTTTGTCTAAGCTTTGTGATTGATAAATTTTCTGAAGTAATTATGTATTCCAACACATCTCTAATACATTTGAAAAATATCAGTTAGAAATAAAAGCTGGTAGCTGGTTCACTTCTACACATTCGGTATACAAAAGATACAATACAGCCACCGTATATATGATTTCCACCGTAATTAATGACATACCCAAACTTTCAATAGAAAAAATCGTAGAGACAGCGACAGATAAACTACTGCGGTATATGGAATGAAAAAATTAACAAAAACTTTAAAACTTAAAATAAAAAATATTGAATCAAACGTTGTGAACTTCCCCAATTGAAAAGCACCTTATCAAGTACGCAAATACTGTAAAATATGAAAGGAGAACAACAAAATAAAGTAAAACTCACACTGAACTCACACTGAATGTTACAGAAATGAACTATTATTTCTGACGAAGATTAAAATTCTCCATACACATATATAATAAAATTACAATTTACAAATCTCAATATGGTATTATGATGCACAATTTTGGTTGGTCCTGTCCACCCATTGTAATATCAACATAATTTAAAGGCTGCAAAGAAAGATAGTCGCAGAGACTTTAACAAATCAGTACTTGCTGGGAAAGTAAAGGACAAGCGGAAGCGCATTCTTAGCAGCTTCAGAGACGTGTAAATGGAGTAGCTAGTAGTCTTCTTAATACCACAGGCCTACTTCGACGATTTTATCGTAAGAAACCACATGATCTAATGGTCATTTAACTTAAAGTAGAAGTATTAAACATCTCTTATTAAAAATATATGTAAGGAACAAATCATACTTCTCGTCAGTTTTTTTTGTATCTAGTTGTTATGTTAATAAACATACATATTAACCGAGACCTTAACACGTCAACACTTGCTGAGCAAATGTAGAACAAGGCGAAGCTCAATCTTATCGCCTTTAGAGGGATGTAAATGTAGAAAGTAGCACACTTTTTAATACTACAGGCCTACTCCGACGACTTCATCGATAGAAACACATCATAACATTATGATATGACAGAAACATAACAATACAAATACAAAAACACTTACGAATACACCCTTGTTTTCAAAATACTGCCATGCAGCTGTCTAATAACATATTTATCTAAATTACCAATTAACACTTTAGCTTCACCCATTAAGTTTTACGACTTGAAGCACTTTTGTCTTATGGCTTTTGTATTGGCAACTAGTTCAATAAAAAAAGCACCTAGAATTATGCAGCAAAAATTAATTTCTCAGTAAATACTCAAGTCATTGGCACAGTGAAGGGGCATTACAATAAAAATGGTTGATTTATAAGGAAAATAGAAATTTAAGACCGAGAAACGCTTCAATGACTGCTTAAAGATAACTTTATGTGTCTATAAACGAAGGTAAGTAAATGTGCTGCAATCAAAGCCATTGAACCATTAAAAATGTTAAGGCAGTTTCTGGGTTGGCAAAATGTCAGTAAGTTTAGTAGCGGCGTTAAGATTTACTTCTATGTAACGCAAACTGTTTAGGTTAAAAGGCGTGCAGGGGCTCAAAGTATTTTACATCAGGTGTTATATAACTTTTGATTTGTTTGTGCTGAGGAATTTAATGTTGTTTTAAATATTATTGATTTTCTGAAAAGAACATTACTCGTTAAAAAAATGGCATAAAAAAGCTTTTAAGAAAATAAACATGTGAAGTTGTTTTTCTTAAAGTAATTTTATATTTTAATTTTTTATTAATGCTTTTAAATTATTTTTTTTTGTTTTGTTTTTATAAAAAAAAAAATTTAAAATAGCTTAGCCATAATATACTTAGAATACTTTCTTATGAACTTAAACTAGTTAACATTTATATTTTACACAAATACACTTAAGCAGACGAAACTAGCATTTATGATGAATATTTTTACAAAATGAAAATTTTCTAAATTAAAACAGATTTTACCAGTTACCATTAACAGTCAGATGAGCAAGTTAAGAAAATTTAAAAAATTTAAGTGAGTTGTGTTTTTTTAATATAATAAAAACTATTTTCTAAAACAAATTTTCAATAATCGCACAACGGGCGCTTCGAATAGCACAGAAATGAAGAAAGCCACGCCAAACGAAAACACTGCATTACCAAGAAATATTATCAGCACGAAGAAATTATTTAGATGCACAGTGCCACTCATGTGGTAGGACGTGATGAGCATTATGACAGGATGTATTAAATAAGTGCAGTATGTGAGACGTGATAGCGGCCACAGACCACGATATGACAGTATACGATTGATTGTCGGTGTGAAACCCCAACAACAAGAAAGTAAAATCCATACAAGGCCAAGGCCAAATGCTAAAAACAAATATTAATATATATATAAAATTATAGCAAAAAAATTTATATTATTTATCTAAATTAAATATAAATTTACCTGTGTGTCCGATGCTCACATAAAATGCAGTATTTATTTCGTTCAGTTCACCTTGCCAAACACCGAAAATTATCAGCGCCAACAAACCTAAACTGCTCATCCATAAAATCAAATTTGTACGAGCAGAAATTTTGGGTGGCGTTTTCACCTTAAACACAATGTAACCAGCAATCATGCCTGGAATTTCTCAAGCATATAAATCTAAATACCGTAATCAGTTGAATATTAATATACCGATTATATAAGTGCCGACCCGTTGCCAAGGCTTATCGTACAGGAAGTCAAACGATTCAAATGGATTCGCCACTTTGTGTGTGTAATGATAATTCAGTGAGATAACGCCCGACACAGCCCAAGAACTGAGCAGGAATGTGCCTATGATGATGACAGCTGTTTTGAAGTACCTAAAATGCATGCAATCCAAGAAACAATATTAAAGTAATAACATCGAGTAAGTGTCTTATCTGGGTTTAATATTGCAAACCTTGTGGAGAGCACCAGCAGCAACATGGCCATTATGTAAAATTGCATATCGTTGGCCATGTACCAGCTCCAAATCATGCATATCTCACTTAGCGGATAGAAATTGTTGATGTATAAAATGTTACGCCACCAGTATTGGGCGCAAGTATCGGGCGCCACTGTCGGTTGAAAAACGGAAGCATCGGACGATTGTCTATGCAAATTAATAGAAACAATGAAATCAATGTAAAATATAATTGAAGAAAAGTTTTTCTTTTTATTTATTTTTAGCACAAAATTATGTAGAAAAGGGAAATCTATTTTTGTCTAATTTTGTCAATAAAGCCAAGCTCCTCTATTGAATATTTCACAATACGCAATTCATTAGCCAATTATGTTTTGTAAATTTGTTGGAAAGTTTTAATGAAATTCAATGGGAAAAAATATAGCTGCTATTGAAAATTCTATAGAAAAACTTTTGTATATAAAAGATAAATATTGAAATTTTATTATAATTTTTTTTCACGCTAAATGATTGAATGATTTTAACGCTAGCAACTCAATTTATATAAATGATTCGATAAAAAATAGAAATGCAAAAGGCGTTTTTAAATTGGAATTGAATATAATAGAAGCCTTATTATTGCGCTTCTGATATCATTAAATTTTAGAGTATATAATTGAATTTTTTTGTATTAAAATCTATTTTCATTATATATTGTGGAAAAAGAGGTCTTGGGCAAAAGAGGACAAAACAAAGTATTTTGTATCAACAAACAAAGCTCCTGAGTGTTTTGGAACCACGTGAGTGTTGACAATTATAAGTTCGAAGTTCTAAAAGATTTTATTTATTAAGAAACCAGCGTAAAAACCAAAAATGACGTCTACATATATATATATATATCTTATATATATAATTCTTCTGTACGTGTGTTGACAGTGAACTCCTCCTAAACGGCTGAACCGATTTTGATGAAATTTTTTGTGTGTGTTCAAGTGGATTCAAGGAAGGTTTAGATTAACAATTTGGCCCACTTTTTAATCAATTTTTTATTTCTTGGTATCCATATACATTTATATAAAAAATTTAAAATTTATTCATGCTTACTTTGATTTGTTTAAAAACTTTAAAATCTCTAAAATGAATTGTAAAACTGACGTTGCATAGCTTAAGTGCATTTAAATTCCGCAGCATAATTATAGGTAAGCCAATTTTTAATCTTAAGTTATGTGGTGGTATTCCTGGTAAATCCAGCGAATTCAAAAATTCAACCCATAAAAAAAAAGAATTATATATATAAAGATATAAATATCGTACAAAAAACAATGCCACGTCTTCGTGGACGAGGAGGAAATATTGGTCGACGGACTCGGAATTCACAATTACTCCAGAACCGTCGGTTAAATAGATCGGCAGAAAACAATGAAGATGTAAGAAACCAGGATAGAATTACACGTGCTAATGAAAGTCAAGAGCAACGCAACGAACGCCAGGAAAATTAATTGCAAGGGGAAACAACGTTCGCCGGGTCAGCTAGTATATATATATATGTTTATATATATATATATATATAGAGAGAGAGAGAGAGAGATCTGAGGTCAATTATTACTTAGTCTGATGATGTGATAAACAATAATCCAGTCAAGGCGTAAAGAGGGGTTTTAAAAATATCTCGAGTTAAGAAAGAGTAAAAGTGCTCAAGTGCACTGGCTCAAATAGAAATAAATAAATAAAATAATAAATAAATGTAGAGAGAGAGAGAGAGACACACGAAATAAATATATTGCAAAATCATGTGTACTGGAAATATACTGGGTGCATTGGGCTATATTATTGAGGATATTTATCTGATACAATATGTTTACATTAAATTGTCAGAAAGTATACTAAACGACTTATAAATATTGGGAATCAAAAAGAGCAAACATTCGGTTACAAAATTACAAAATTACGTTATGCGGAGAACTGTTATTATTGAAGAAAAGTTAATAACACAGTATAGTATTTATCGATTTTTGAAAAACTAGACGCGATAAAAAAAATGAAGTAAACATTCTCATTCAGCACTCTAAAATCTATCTGAATAATGTATGGAAATACGAAGAAGGAAACAAATTTATTTTTACAAATCTGTATTTTTTGCATTATTTTTAAATTAAAATTTCTGTATTGAACAAAAAATGTTCCAGGATTTAAAAAATATAAAATGTTCCTTTTAAAAAAAGTATTTTCAGAAATTCCCCGTTTCTTCTGCATTTCTTGTTAAATAAATTTTATTAAATTTCAATTTGGTCTGTTGTGAAATAAATGCTTTAAAGTTTCCTTTGGTCTCTGTGAAATGCAACCGTAAACATCTCATCTCAAGTGATTTATAAACATAAATAAGAAAAGAGTTTTCAATTTAAAAAATTATTTTCTTACCTCAATGCAAAGTCGTTGAAGAAAATTACAAATAAATACGCTGGAGTTAAACGTATATAACGGTAAATCAATATAAGGGCAGTATCCGAAAAACTGCGACGTACAAATTGCCCCGTATCCTCAGGATATTTTTTTCCTTGCTTTAAGTACAGTAAAGTCACTAGAAATCCGCTTATGAAGAAGAATGTATCCACGGAGAAGGTGGCATTGCCTACAAATTGATACCAAACAGAGCGTTCGACAATGATACGTTGAAACTGCAATTGGAAAAGAAAATGAAGTATGTATATAAGTAGATGTGATAAGGTGCTCAAAGGAAGTGGTATAGGAAGTAGAAGAAAATGGAAAACTTGAGCTTTTGGAAGGAACATTGACAAAAGACATGAGAAGAGCATAAATATAAATTCATTGCAATATTTACTCTATTTTCACCGATGCTAAACATTTGCAGATACGTATGCACCATAATAGTCCAAAGTACTGAAAAGACGCGCAGACCATGTACGCAGGATGTTGGATTCTAAGTCATAATATGATGGTTATTTTCAAAAAAAAAAAAAAATTTCATAAAATAAAATAAATAAATATTTTGAGAGTATGAAAAGTACGTGTGAACTATGAAAAATAAAATACTGGAATGTGAATGTACTTTTAGTTTTACTTTTAAATAATTTATAATTTTATTTTAGTTTGCTATTACAAAATCTATTTTTATAAAAATATATACTTTATAAATTACCTCTTTGTGTTCATCAATATTTAGAATGGTGTTGGCATTTGTTTGAAATGCGAAACACAATAACAACTGTTCATGCAGCCCTACGAGAAATTGATTGAATTCAAACGAGAATAACAATAAAAAAAAGAAATAAATTGAAAGTTAAAAATCAATCCCATTTCATTGAACCGATAGAATATATTTTGTCCAATATGGTGAAGTACACTCACCCAATTGTTGTTTAGCTTCAAAAGTGCCAGTTGCACCTATGCTACTGCCAGTTTCTATTTTGTAATCCGTCATTGGGCTTTTGTCTGCTTCATTCAATGGACGCTTTTGTTGACAAGAGCTGGCTGCTGAGTTACTGCTACCATTCGTTTGTTGTGTCAGTTCTTTGTTGCCATTCACATCTGCTTCAATGGACACAACGTTATTATTCTCATTGAGGGTTTTCATTTGGTACAACTCAAAGGCTTTGCCATTATAAGAGTCATTGGACTTATGTCCTGTCATGCTTGCATCGATCTTAGCGCTGATCGCTGATATTTGTGAAACTATTTTATTTTGATTTAGACTGGCTTGATACCAAGTTGCTGCAAGAACGATGAAGGTTAAAGTAAGCATAAAGCTCCTATGGATGAGATGAGATGGTTAATTAAATTTCTCACATTATATCACTTTCAATTTTATTATAACCACCCTTACGCAAATATTTGGAACTTCAGTTCACGCCAATAACTAAAGAATCCTGGTACAGTACGTACACGTCTGATTTGCACCAGTGTTGAGTTTGATGAGTGGATTGTGCTTAGTGTGTCTAGCATTTGAGCATGTGGATCCAGTGAAAGTATAGCGTGTACATCTTGCGAGGTACATGATTTCGGCAAACACTCACCAATTTGCAGAGAAATGTTCTATAAAACAAGTTATATGAAAATGGCACTATATTAGAAAAAGTGAATAGATTTAAATAACATAATAGAAATAGTTGAAATAACGATGTTTTCGTTATTTCTAAGAGGTTTCGATAAAAGGAGAAGCCCCTATTAAATCGGTGTCAGTAAAGTAGTGATTTATGACTTTAGCAATTATATTGTTTAACCACAATTATATAACCACAAGCAATCTAATCCAATCAATTTTGCTTTAAAATAAAAATAGACAACTACAAAAATAACTTTCAATTCATTGAATTTGTGTTTCTAAATAAAGCTGTAGTATATAAGCTCTTTCTAATTGAGAAAAACAGCATGGCAAGTGCTTTGGTTAGTATCACTTAAAAATAAAGTGATAACAAACTTGGAACTTGAGCATTGAAAATTTGTACAGCCTTTAGTTACTTGTAGAGAAATACGATTAGCTATCGTTTCTAATTTGACAGCATGAGTTCTAAGCCTGGTACTTGCAGTCTAACAAATTATAAACGGACTATAAACTAATTAAATAAAAATTTGAAAATTTTGTAAGATCAGTGTTGATAAGTATTTGGCAATACTCGAAATAACGTTGTTTGGTCTTTCAAATTTTAATAAAGTAATCAAATTTTTGTTATTGCTTCTTCATTACTGTTTGAACCCTTCCAACTACTTTGTGGTTTTTTGTGATCCGTTGCTGGACAGTCTTAAGTGCTTCACAATTTACATGTAATCAGTGTACCTTTTAAATATTCTCTATATATAGTCACTTTAACGCGGACTAAAACTTTATCCCTTTATAGGCGATTGGATTTTAATTGACTGGTAACTTCATTGGATTTTAGTTTGTCAGAAATACTTCGATAATAAAATAACTATAACTGGCGACTATTAAAAAATAACAGTTGCTGGTTCACTAATAAATATTACTTCTTGTTCGTAATTAAATATGTGGAATTAGTAATTAATCACTCATTAATTAACCAATTTATAGATTAAACGACAATAGATTAAATAACAATCAAAATAATAAATACATTAAAAAAATAATATGAATTTTATTTATTATTTAGTTAAATCTAATAACAAATAATTAATAAATAATAATAAAAAACAAATAATAAAAATTATATAACTTGTAATTATTTTTATAAATATTGTAAATTTGATTGTTATTTCTTAAATTTTTAAGATCATAAAAATAACCACTGCAGTTAGGATCTGCCAGCGCACAGAATATTGGTAACTTCACGTTTTAAAAATATAGTAAAAAAAAATTATACTAACTATTACATTCATAAATTTAAAATGCAAATATTTTAAATATTTTTTTCAAATTTTATATAAAAAAGCAATATTTTACTGTTTTATTGAAAATCAATAAAACGAAACCAAAACGTTTTTGTATTTTCCTCACCATTTTTTCCGGTAGCCATAGACGGATTGCAATGACTGCTGCATAAAATTCAAATTCGAAGTGCTTTCGCTCCTCGGGCTGCAATTGACGATTCAATTCGTAGCAAAAAGTCTTCTGACCAAGCCATTTGTCATTCCCAAATAAAATTTGTCCACGATAGCGACCGGAGGCATCGTAAGCTGCAAGTAAAAAGCCAAAGAGAAATAAAATTATAGATGACACTCAGACAGTCTAAAATGCACTTGAGCAGATAAATTGCAGTTGTGTACGTAAATTAGCTGTGATAAAAATGATCATAAAAGTGTAATCAGTGATGGTTTCAATGAGCTTTCCACTTCGGAAGCGTAAAATTGTGGCATGAAAATGCTGTCGAGCAGCAATTTAAGCAAAATTTAATATTCTGAAAATGTGTGAATAAACTTTAAACGAACTGTATATCTGTTACTGGTTGAAGTTAAGTGACTGACATAAAAATTAAATTAATTTGTGGAAGTTTTTGAAATGGAAAAATAATGGTAAACTATTTAACTGACTTTTCCGAATTAAAGTTCATCGCATTAAAATTTTAAATTAGGCACATATTTGCAAGTGAATTGGCTTAAAACTTTTTACAATTTGGATTTAAAAAGTTTTTCAGTGGTGTGAGGAAATCGCAAAGAACTAAACTAGGTTATGTAGATATTTTGATTGAAAATAAATTCGGAAACACATTTTTAGAAACTTTTGCATTTCGAAAATAGTTGTATGAAACAACAGTTTGGAATATGAAATAGGTGTAGAAATGGATAGATATACAAATAGATTTATTTCTTTTGATGAGCTAAATAAAATATCATCAAAATTGAAAAACTTTCGATGAAAAACGTGTGTTTATTTTTTTTCAATATAACATATATTTAATGGACTTTAAGCTGAGGTTGTTACTTTATTCTTATTTATTATTTCTATTCACACATCTAATTCCTTACTTGTCAAACAAAATTTAATTGTGGTTTAAGTATAGATAATTAGACACTTCAATTATAGGTTTTGCAATTACTATTTTATCTAATCTCCTACCCAACTAGGTGTTTGGACCTAATTTGGAGTTGATATAGGAATTTCGGAATGGTTTCGTCAATGGTATGGGGGGTTTTGGATTAGGCCCCTCTGCACTGCAACCAGCTTCAACTATAGTGCACGCGAGATGGTTTATTTCAACCATAGCTGTGTTTATCTGTATTAATGTCGAATTAAATTTTTTTTAATAATCTGTACTTTTTAAAATGTTCTATTAGGTTCTAAATGGAGGCCCTATGCTTATGAAAAGGCAATTATTATATACAAGAATATTTTTCAAAAATGTTCTATGTCTTTTATATTTATTATTGGTGTATTATTGTAACTTGTATTAAATACTATATTTTAATTTGTAATATTCTTAATAAGGAAGTATTTATTAAACGGCATTTATTTCAATAAAATTCTTTTTCTTTCTCATTGCAGGTGAGTTCAGGAATATTATTTATGAAAATAAAACAAAAATCAAAAGCCTGAAAAAAAACAATAAAAAAGGTAAACTGTAGATTTAAAACATATAAATTAAAAAGTTTTATTGACAACTCGGAGAAATAACTTTATGGAATGTGTAAAGATAATGCTATTATTATATCCAGCAATTTAAAGATTTCATTCACAAATAGAAATGTTTTCTTTACTCTCTGTAGTATATATACTTTATATAACGAGAAAATTTTTCATTATTATAGGTATTATGAAAAAAAGGTATAGTACTCTGCGACCTAACAGATCTATTGTGGCCCTTAGTCGGATTAGAGTGTACCTCCGAATTTTTTAATGAAAAACAGCATACATACCTTTCGTAGTCTTGAATCCTTATGTTCAAGGAACATGAACATTTTTCATACACATTTATAAATGCTTAAATGTCAAAAAATTAAGAATTTTCATACCAATAATCTTCAATTTTTATTTTATAGTATAGGTTCGATTAGGCTAAGGAATTTTATTTAATAATCTGTTATAGTATTAGTTAACATATCGTTATTAACGTTTCTTCATATTAATATCTGTTGATTTTTAATATATTCCTCAAGGGATTTGTCAAACCTATCATCATTTAAGAAATGATGCTGATATACCAAGTTCTCTCAAAATTAAATTGAGTGGTTTCTATCTGAACTATCAGGGGATAAATAAAATTCTACAGGTAACTTTATATGACGATGTGCTCAGATAAACTTCTACGCTTACTTGGTATCCCCAAGTACTAAAAAAAAATTTATATAATTATTTTATTTACAAATCAATTTGGAGTTGATTGTTGCCGACATTCCCGTATTCAATGCTGTCTTACAAAAACATAAAAACCGACCTGCGTGTCATGACTTTTGATGCAATATGCTGGTTAAGTACATCAGTGCTTTATTTATCTATTAATTTTGTGCTAAATGACGGTTTCTTTTTCTTTACATTCCATATATTTCGATATTGCATAATAATTATCATCACCCGCAGGTAAATAATCCATTAAGAAAAACAAGCTGTTGCATAATTTTTCTTCAAACAACCTTGTTTCTTTTCATCAGGAGTAACCCCAATGCATCTGGTTATCGAAAGCCATTACTTCGCAAATATATGTAGGACTTTAATAACTTTAAAAATTTTATATATATAGTATAATTTATAAATAATAGACCTTCTTTCATTAATTGTTTATTTATTGAATATTATTTAATATTTATTATTTTTTCAACTTATTTTTGATGTATTGATGTACTCGTATTTCAATTTTTTAATTTATAATTATTTTTAAATTTAAAAACAAAATTTTTTCTTTTTGTGTAATCATTTATGTGCAAAATTTTAAATGATAATGCACAATATTAAATATAAAATTAATTAATCTGCATGAAAATGTGTTTCTTAGAGTAATGACCATAAAAAAAAATTTTAAGTGTAAAATTCTTTTATTAAAAATTGCCTTGAAACAATTTGTGTTAAAACTTAAAAAAAATTGTACTCGTATGTTATTATATTAATCCAATTACGTATTACCATCGACAAAAGAGTGGATTTTCAAGTTATCAATCAATGCTGAGTATAAAAAGTTTAAATTGCCTTAACAATTTTAACCTTTTTAAATGTGCCCGTACTCATAATTTACCATGACCCAATGCAATAATAGTGTAATAATCATTACTACTTTTGAAAATTACTAATAACAATAGTAATTTATAGTAATTTTTAATGTAATTAATTAAAAATAATTTGCTTAAAGCAAAAATTAATTTTAATTACTCCTCTAACGTATGCGTAAATTATAATATATGGAATTTATTTAAATGCATTTGAAAAAAAAACACTCATACGCTACGAGGAAAAAAATTGACCATTATTGAAATGTTTGAATAAAAATAGGACAAGTTGAATGTGCTATCTTCTTTATCGTATATAGTCAATTAATTTTTATGAACAATAAATAATACAAGTTCATTAATAATATTTATAATTAAAAAGAATTGTTTTAGGTTTGAGAGATAGTTGGTAGTAGAAAACTAGAAAAATTCGATTGAGATATTATGATCATCTCACTGATGGATTTTGGTGTTAAAAAAAATACGATTTCAATATTCAAGTTTTATATGAGCATATAAAAGTCAATATAATATAAAGTTTTGTCATAACTAAACTTAAATGTTTTGGATCATTTAAAGATAGCAATGTACTTACTTAATAATGACGCTATCAGTAATTATAATTCTGAATATATGTATTAAAAAAAATTATACTTTAACTTTATATTAAGATTAACTCTTTAAGTTAATATAGATAAAAGAGAAAAAGAAAAGAATAGAATAAAACTAATTTCGAAACTAATAAATATCAAGATAGAAATCTTACTTAATGGAAGTATAGCTTCAATTTGGTTAAATTTTAAGTGCCCTTCATACAAATCGATGTTGTATATTTTTATGATATACAACATATGATATTATACTTCTGATATAAAAACAACAAATTCAACTATTTCCTCAGTAAATTTATATATTTTTTTTTGGCATAAGAAACCAGAGCTCCTATTTGTTTCTGAAAATAATAATACTAGTAATTCAAGTGCAGTAATTAATAGAAATGATTATTTATATGCTTAGCCGTTTTGAAATTTCCAGACACCGTAGATTATTCATTTTTTATTTAAAAATATTCAAGTAAATGTGACTCTGAGTACAAGTTTTTCTAACATACAGTGACTCGTCAGCATTAATACTGCGCTATTAAGGTCTGCTTTAGTTGAAATCTTCGATACGCTTGTTGTCGAAATTGGACTAAAGTAGTCTTAATGTTTGGCAAGAATTTTTTATGCACTCAAGCTTTTTTAGCTATTAACTAAATAAAAAGTACTTAATGGGTTTAAAATATTTTTGTAATATATCTTGCATAGTTCATAACGTTTTAACGTCTTTAAAATTAATATAAATATATTAATATATATATATATATATATATATATTATATATAATATATAATATATATTATATACATAATATATATAATAAATACGTTATATATATAACCATTAATTAACTTGTTTTTCCAACACATAATGACCCGCGAGTCCCAATACTTTACTACTGAGTTCTGCTGTAGTTCAAGAAACTTTCAGATACACTTCCCTGGTAAATTGATTTAAAGAAGTTTTGAGGTTTAACAATAATTTTCATCTACCTAAGCTTTTTTAAAGCTTGAAATACAGCAAAAATTTAATTTCGCCTGCATTAATATAGGTTTTATAAAAAAAAACTGCTTACAAGGAAATAAATTCAATTGTGAAAAGAACCCCAGAAGAATTTGGCATTTATTTCAATTCAGTTCTTTCCTTTCTGTTTGTTTCGATTAACTTAACAAATCTTCTTAGGGATTTTTTTCATACCACAGAAAATCCATTAAATTTATGTTTAATCAATTTAGCAAATTCAAAATAATGTTTTTTATTAATTTTTATTTTTGTATTCGGCTTATCAAAAGCTACCCAAAACATTTATCATTGGAGCTACTTTGCTGAGCAAATAAAAGCCAACATATAAAGTATAAAGTATATAAAGTCCTGTTTCCTAAATTCTAAAATTTCTAAAATTGGCGGCAAAAGGCAAGTAAACATGAAGCAAAACGTTTTCACAAATTACGGCTCATTAATCATTTCGATCAATGGACAACGGCGCAGGACATGCCATACACTTGCCTCATCCATTCCACCGAGCTTCAAAGAAAAAACCATTTTAAATTATGTATTTTTGTATATATGTTGTTGTTGCTGCCTTTTTGCTGTCGTTGATTTATGCAGTCAGGCGAAATAATTGTATTTCCAGTAATTCAATTGAGTGTAAATTCATTTGTTTGCGTTAAGAGGAAAATTTTGTTCATTATCCTTACAATTGTGTAATTTTATAAGTGTGAATATGAGAAAAAGGTTAAATTGCTTGCTTAAGTAAGGGAATAAGGCAGAGTATTTCTGGAGTTACTGTAGTGGCAAGATAAGAGCTGATTTTGTTTATTGCAAAGTTATCACATTTAATTTGATAGCAACACGCCTTCAAAAGGATTAAAAGTGTATCAACGAAAATAACTGACTAATAATCTATTCTGTGAAAGTAATTATTTCAAAGATAAAAATTGTAAAAATTAAAGATATAAATATTTAAATATGAACTAACCTTTTTGTGCCCATTCATAGTTTCCTTGTAGTGCTGTTAAGTATGCTTGCATTTCGAGACCGCAACCAGTACTCACTTTAGTGCGTATTTCAGATATTTGCCAATAAAACTGATCATAAAGATTTGTTAGAATTTGAAAGACATTTACTGCATGCAAACTCTCTGCTGTTGCATTTGTATTTGCTTCATTGCTGGTGCCAAAATATCGACTTATACTATTGAAATTACTACCCAAACCTTTTTGCAAGTCATCCTTTTTCATTAATTCACGTCCTTTCTTCGTTGATTTATTTTTTAGTATCTTGAAAATATGCGGACTAACAGTAGTTACCGCAGCTAATGGCGTATTTGCATTTGTTGTTGAAGATGTTTCGGTTGCGGTTGTCGTTGTCGTTGTCGTTGCTGTTGTTGTTGCTGTAGTTGATAGTTTTGTTGTTGTTGCTTTTAGTGTTGCAGTGCTTTCAGTTGTTATGACTGTAATGCTATCAACATCATCAACACCCACACCAATTTCGGAATCTTCAACGAAAGCACGTTCAGTGTACGTGAGCCCTTCATCATTGCCATCGCGTAATAAGTGCTTCTCCTCGGAGCTAAGATCACCTTTCTTAATAGATTCGTGCTCTAAATCCTCTAAATCACCTAAATTAAAATCAAATGTAACAGGATGCAATTCGTATGGTTTCAATGGACGTTGTTTTTCATATTCTGTTATGATAGCCTTGTCGAAGGAGTAGGGCTTCTTTTTGGTTGGCTTTGTTGGCCACACTTCATGCGTGTTCAGTTCAATTGGTTTGCGGCTATCATCGATGCTAGACACTTCATGCAATACTGTTATGTTGCTGTTTCTGTTGCTGTTGCTATTGCCTATGTAATGACGCTTCTCTGCTGCAATTAGAGTTGCATTTGTGGCATTCACATTTCGAGTAATTGCTGCAGTTATGCAAATCATTAGTAGCAGCAATTTAAGCAGCAGAAAATGTTGATTGTATGACTTTCGTATTTTTATGCTTAACATTTTGACTTTTGTTTTATTTTTGGTTGAAATATTAAAGATTCTTTAAATTATATTATTGCACTTTATTTTATTAAAAACTATTTTTAAGTTTTTCATGTTTTTACTTTTTTAAAGTCATTCACATTTTTATATATTTGTTTTATATTTGCTTTATTTTATAATCCTGAGTTAGATTATTCATGTTAAAAAATATTTAAATTAGTAATAAATAAATAATTAAAAAACATTTATGGAATAATATTACTCGTAAAATCATTAAGCGCATAAACTTTAAATGAGCAAATTATTTCCCTCAACAAAGATAATATATTTAAATTGTTATATTATTTTTATTTTTCATTATATAAAACTTTCTTAAAAGCTTGAAAATTGTTTAGTGCATATATCTCTTTAAGAATTAAAAATATATTTGCACAAAGGATATTGTTTTAAGGAATGTCAATTGTCACTATTCTCTCCGTAGAACGCGTATAATCGATAATTGTGTAATTTGGGTATTACTTTCTGCTCAAAAAGTATTTGTTGTTTGTCAACTACTCCTTAAGTAATAGATCTTTTTCAAAAAATTTTTTTATTATGTTGGTATATCCTTTCTTGACATATGGTACAAATTTGAGCGCCATTTGTCAATTAGTTTGTTTACAGCAGTTCTTAATGTGAGACTACCTCATTTTTACTATGGAAAATTCTTGTTGTAAGCGATTTTTTGACCAAACACGGCACCACTGTCATCGCTCAGGCACCATATTTGCCAGATCTGGCGCCGTGTGACTGTTTCCTGTTCTCGGAACTCAAATTACCCCTTCGTGGTACGCGTTTTGAGTCGATTGAATCGGTAAAAGAGAATTCGCCAAAGGAACTAAAAGCCATACCTTCACGGGCCTACGATAAGTGTATGGAAGATTGGGTTAAGCGTTGGCATATGTGTATCGCTTCAGAAGTTTTGTAAAACTATAGTTTTTTTTCAACGAACACTACTTTTTGTATTAGGTAATGTTTACTTTTAAATATAAAAGATGGTAAGCGGATATTGTTAAGTTTTCACAAAAAGTAGTAAAAATTTTATTGAAAAAAATACTACTTCATCTAAAGCTAAAAATAAACTAGTCTTTAGTGAGGTTACAAGTATTAAATATTAAATGAAAAACTTTTATTACAGTAGGTCTTGTATTTTTCACTACTCTTAAAATATTAATCCTCTCTGTTTATATTACACTATATATAATCCCAAGCAAATATGCTTGCAAAGTCCAATATTTGAAAGTAAATTTATGAATGAAAATACATTTTTTTTTTGTATTCAGACCGGTGTGAATATTGCATTTATTTAATCAGCAGATTTACCATCTGTCGTAATACTCCATAGCGTATATTAAAGCATCTATGTAAGAGACTAGCGGGTATTTCGCTGCTTAAATTTTTCTTAACAAAGGCAAGGAAATTATTGTATCTAATACAAACACTATCAAGTTTTTATCTTGTAACTGAAATAAAAAAGAAAACAAACAGACATCACCACATCACTACATCATCACATCACAATATCAGCACATCTTTGCATCAAGTGTAAACAATATGGGGAAGTACTTTTGTATTGTTTATTGTTATTGTTGTTTGTTTAATTATTAAAGTAGTTTTATGTGACAGTATTGCGCGCGGATTTGCAGACTTTGTGGCTATGCGTTTGCGTCCAACATAGCAACATAGTTTAGCAGGTTTTTTCGGTTTTTCAGGAATTCCATTTTACGAGATTGGAAAACCAGTTAAAAAAATGATTACTTACCAAAATGGTATAAGGAAATTCGTAAATGTATCTTTTTATTAATTTACTCCAAATTGAATTGGCTGTAAATAATCATTGTAAGCATTTTGTAAATGATTTGATTAGTTGATTTTTATTAGAATAATTAAGTTAAATTTACTTAATATCAGCGATGCAATGTATTAAAAATTAGTATTAAATCTTATATAAACATAACATATATTGAGTTTGATTAAAACAATAAGCGGTAATGACACTAAAAAGTATATCATTAATGTTTACATCGTGTAAAACGCGAAAGCAGCATAGTCATAAATTTATTTAAATGTTTGAATATTTGATATATCTGGTAACACTAGAAGAAATTTAACAATGTGGTTATCAGATATAATCTTTTTTGCTACTTATCTTGTTTAATTCGAATTTAATGACCTATTCATACACTGGATTCAACTTGCAAATATGATACTTATGGAGATTTCTTTATGCCAAGATATGAAACTGTAAAAGAGTCATGAAAGCTTTTTTTAATGCGAAAAGAGTTAATTCTAATCCGGAGGAATTTTAATATTGAACAATATTCTATACGTTAAAGTACTTAAAAAATACTGACTCTACTATCTAGAAGCTACAAGTTGCTCAAAGTCAGGCTTTCCGAACGCTCTTCAAAGTGCCATGGTACATCCGCACGAATGACATGCTAAGAGACCTTAAAATAGATTCGGTCAAAAAATACATAAGGGACAGAGCTCTGAAGCTATATGCGAAAACCGACAAGCTGTCCTACTTAGCAATATCTAATCTCAGCGTAATCACTAACCGCACGGGGTGGAACGCAGATCTTAGATCAGTCACTGAATAATCACGAAGATTATGAGGAATATTCAAATTAGTTAGTAAGATAGGTGAGACTTTGCAGAAACTCCCCAGCTATCAAAGAGTAAAACAACATTAACATAAGATTTCATAAGATCTCAACATAAGATTTATAGAAGCTGTAGCTTCTGTAGCTTAAATATTTTAACTCTTCCTGTGTAAAGCATAGGAAAAAATTAATGCGACTACAATGATTATGGTTTGGAAATTGGAATTGTATCATCAAGTGCTCCATCATCTAAATGGTGATGAAGATTGTGTTATCAGTTTGTGAATATCTATTGGATTTTAAAGTTCGTTAAAATTGCTACTATATTCTAGGTAATCAATCTTTTTTTTAAGGACCTATGCTCCATTAGAAGAGAAGGGCAGTAGGAAGTAAATAAGTAATCCTATATCTTTTTTCAATCCTATATTAAACCAACAAGTAAAGTTAATAAATATTTCTTTGTGTGCTTCTAACTGGTACAGAGTAATATTCTCAATTTGAGCGGTTGATGGACGACATTATTTTTTGAGACCTTATGTTTGAGAATAAATTGCTTACACTTTCAGTTTGTTTTTGATGTATCTGCTTTTTTAATTTAAAAATACTAGCCACAAAGTGATGAATTATTTAAAAAGCTTTGCTATAAGTTGAAAGGTGTTGAAATAATAATCATAAAATCATCTTAAGATAGACATTTTAATTAACAAAATATGCTTTATTGCCACCACAAAATTCAACCAAAGAAGATTTATTATACATATGATAACCTTGACTTATATATTTGGGTAGTCTTACTCACGCTTAAAACACAAATTTTTGAAGTTGCCGATTGCGCAATACATGTATTAGATCTAAATATTATATTTAAAATATTTTGATATCAATAAATAAAACATAAGTAATTTTAAATTAAGAAATTAAATATTAATTTTTATTAATGTTATAGTTTCACATTATGGCTAAGGTCAATTGGCTAACATTTTCGAGGTAATCGTTACAGATTATCCTTAATGGATCGTAAAGGGCCCTTAAAGCTATCTGATAGTTTGTAAATGTGAATTCTTTTCATCTTCTTACGAAGATATTTCTTCTAATATATTTTGATGCCATTTATTTCTGCCTAAAAAATAATTGTGTAAAGCGTATTGGTTTTGATTGTTGAAGTGATTGGGTTTAACTTTCCGGAATTGCTAACTGGATAGGACATTTGTGATATACATAATATACCTATCAATTTAAATCAATGATAATGAATTTAGCTTAAAATTATTTAATTGTAGTAACTACTGGGTTTGGTTTCCTGAAGTCCTTTATTGGTTAATTTATTTCTTAAAATTTTTTAAGTTGAATAAATAATTAAATTACTTTTCAACATTATTTATTACGCAATGTAAAGTAATGGGGAAATATTTGACTATATATCTGTTTTAGAAGTTAAAAGTCATACCCTTAAAATAGTAAGGGATAAGAAATCGAACAGCTATTCATCTAACAGCCTCATCTGTATAAAAATATTAACAGCTCAAGTTGATATATATATTGTTGATAATATCAAAGACAATATCATCTAAACTGGTATGGGAGTATATTGACAATTTGAACATACTTGGCTGCAACAATCAGGTGCACTTAATATGGATTCGAGGCGCGACTTCAATAATGATAGACCTACTAATGCGCTGGATAATTAATTCCCTGCACATTGTTAATGTTGAAGTGAAGTATTCCTTGCAAATTCGAAGATGTCTAAAGATCTTACGAAAACTCATGTTTATCACGGAGATGTTTTATCTTCTCTGATAACGTCAATGATTTTGCGTGATGGAAAAAGACAGATAGAAAGATCGATCTGTGGAAACTAAGGATTATTATCGAATCTACTACTACTACTACTACTACTACTACTGTATTACTACTATACTATAATTATAGCAATACCAAATAAACTTAAGCTCATGAGTGGAACTTTTGTAGTAGCTTTTTTTGTGAAACTAAGAAGTATTTATGCTTTATGTTTGACACGCTTTTTTAAGATATTATAAAATGTATTTTTTATACTGATCCCCAGTCGAATTTTCTCGCAGACTCTATTGCATTAGTTCTAGAATATTAAAAAAATTGCATATATGTTAAGTAAATTTTGAAACTAGTTCAATATGGTTGGTTATTGTTAAATTGGTTATTTACTAAATTTTATAATTCTCATTTAATTTATAATGTTTGTTCTATAAAAGTGGTACGTGAATGGTAGAATAAAGCGAGGATGTAACATGTACTAATAATGTTAATATAAAATTACTAACAATAGCATTGGGTTTCTCAATTGTTGACATATATTTGGTGTAAAATAAGTTTTACAAAAGTTTCAATAATTTTTTGATACAACAGTTTTGTCTCCACAAGTCATA